AAAAAATAATTTAGTTTCATTGTGATCTGGGGGCAGGTAGGACGTAAAAATAATTTCCTGTCCAGTGAACTTGGTTGTTTCTCTGCAAGCCAATATAAAGGAAACATTTGTTCTGTGTCTGAATTACATGGGACAAAGCTGGACTTAAACAATGTACCGTTTGTTACTGTTAATTGACACTGTCAAACCCAGCCGATTTTGTGGCTTATGTGCATGGGGTTTTTTGTTTTGTTTTTTGCTTTCCCTTTCCCTTGTCTTGCCGCCTGACCGCTTGCTTATTGTTTCGAAAGAGGCCATGTGGAAATGCGACTTCTCGTGGCAAACGGACCCCCGACCCTCCACACCTTCCCCAAAGAGGAAAGCGGCTCTCTCCTCCTCCGCCGACTACAAGCCCAAACAAACAAACAAAAAAATAGGACTCGCTTTTCCCACATGGCCCCACACGTGTACACACCTCTGCCACGAGGGCCGTGCTCGTCCCCCTTTGAGGGCTCCGATTTGTTGTGCAAGCAACGATCGGCTGAGTCCCACCTCCGCAATCCCACCTCCGCAAAAGGACGGACACGGGTTGGGAAGGAGACTTGAAAACACACACACGTGTCCGCCCCCTCCCCCCTCCGCGTGCGCCCCCCCACTTCCGCAGTGCTGTATGCAAAGCGCCGCGTTCGAACACCCGGGCAGCCCCGCCCCTTCCCTTCCCCTTCTTTTCCCGCCAGTCTCCTGCCTGTAATCTGCCTTCAGTCGGGATGTCGGGAAGGAGGGGGGCGGGGCTTAAACAACAAATCAATTTCATATTCCTTCAATTTACTTTACACTGTAACTTATCATTTGTATTTCATAAAATAAAATAAAAAAATCTCTTTTCCTCATGGTTTATATCTATAAACAAATCATTAAAGTCGCATCATTCAAAGTTAATAAAAAAGATTTCATCACAAGCTATCAGAAACAACAGCATATTAAAATTTAATCCTATCAAATAATACCCTACAAATTAATACTCATCTTCATCTTCTCTTAGAAATTCCATTGCACGTTTAATATTTTCCTTCGATTTTAATACCATAGTGTGTGGTACTTATTTCCAATCTGACCATATGCATTCTGTGAACATCTATATTGGTGCTTCATTCACTCTGTGAAACACTCAGCAGCTTTGATTTTGAGTTGCAGACATTTCATCCCCCCACTAAATTTTCCATATGTGAGTTTAAAAAAAGAGAAGAGAAGTTCATTGGTTGGAAATAATTATATACAATTATATACAATATCCACATATCTTGCCTTGGGTGGGATAGTCCTGTAGGCGAATATTGTTTTGCAAGTTGATGTTAGTAGGCTATTTACCTATTGATAAGGTGGTGATTCTGTCTCATCTGAGTACTAACATTTTGCTGTATAATAGAATGGCTTGTGGAGGGTGTTAGGTTGGGTTGCTGGCTTTTGATTGCTAGATTTATGAGAAATGTCTCTAGTTTATCTAGGTTTTTGATTTAGTTCTGTGTGAGGTGGGAATGGTACTCCGTGTTGAGTTGATATATTGTTATTGGGTCTTTGTTTACATACATTTATGCATAGAAATTAAGTCAATTGTGGCTTGCTTGCTTTTAATTTTTTTCTTGCTTTTTCAACCTGCCTTGTTCTAAGATTTCCATTGTTTTCCTGTTGAATTAATGCTGGAAGTTGTATATCTGGAAGGAGATAATTGAAGCTGTATATTTTTGAAGCCAAGCACAAACCACATTGTGGCTTAAGGGGATGTGGCTATCCAGCCACAGTATGTTATGGAATTGTAGAACCATTCAAATGTAGAAAGCACAAGACAGTAGATTTTGATAATGAAAGTGAAAAGTAAAATGAATTGAACCACTATAGGTGCAGTATCATCAACCTTATGAAAATATGCTGCACGTTAAGGAGAATAAATTAAAATAGCCCTATAGCCTCAGATTGCCCATTAACTACAATATAATTGATTCTGTTACTCTTCTCATACTAATAAGGGTTCCAATGAAATACATTGGAGGTGAAGAATACATCTGAATAGTCTATATAACACTGATATAATTAAGCTTAGCAACAAGTAGAAAAGTAGTGAATCATCCCTGCAGATGAACTGCCTTGGAAATGGGGGTCCTGTCTTCACTGAAGTAAGCACAAATTTGGCAGCGGGGATGAACAGTAGCTTGGGAAGGTCAGGACCTGAGTGGTGGAAAAAGAGCACAGCTTCGAGGCAAAGCAAGAAGCTTGAAAATTCCACACTGTTCTCTCTCTCCTCCTCTTTCCAGCATAAGTAAATTGGCACATTCCTAAAGACCTCTGTGACCTCACAACTGGGGTCTCAGAAGGCTTGCTCTGTGGCACAAATGAATTAAATTCACGTGGAGTTGCAGAACCTTTGGGAGTATCTGTGCTGTGCAACCCTTCTTACTCTTCTGTCCTCTTAATAAGCAGCCCTCTCTAGGTGGGCTAAGCTTTTGATTGTCCTTGTGCACGTTGATAGAGCTGTGCGATATATTCTGCACCTGGATTGCTAAATGAGGTTTGGAATATGTTGTGAAACATCATCCTTTTCTCTGCCTACGAGATTTTTTAAAAAAATGCATTTCTCTCTCCTGCCTTTGTTTTTCTCTTGTTTAAATTCCTCTTCCGGTGTCTTTTAGTTAAATGTTTATAGTAGGCTAATCAAAGCAGCGCCTTTGGCCTCTCCTTTCTGTATTTTCTTTCCCCACATGCAGAGAAGATGGGGAGGGAGAGATCATGAATGAACCTCTCACGGCTTTTAAAGCTACCGTAAATACAATTTCCCCTACCATTTTGGCTAAGAGCCATAAAGTTGGGGATTGACGGATCTTCCAGACCAGGGGTCCCCAGCCCCCAATCCATGGACCGGCACCAGACCGCGATGTGCCAGTAACAAGCAAAGCCCCATTTGCAGGGTGCAGGCAGCACAGAAAACCACACCCGCTCCCGTCCCCAGAAAAACCTTTATCCACGGAACCGGTCCCTGGTGCACAAAAGGTTGGGGCCGCTCTTCCAGACAATGATATATCAATGCCACTTGGGCATCATGCTGCCAACAGTCTATACATCATTACCACTAGGGTTTTGCTGTTGTGAGCTGTCCTGCTACTAGAGCAGTTTTATTTTTAAAGGGGAAGGGCAATTTCAGCCCAATGAATGCTGCTTTGGAAGTAAAAATGTTTTGTTGCCTTGAGCTTTAAGATGAAACGTGTCCTTGTTCTCTCCCATACTTCAGGCTGGTTCTCTGCCTAGAAAAATACTTTGTCAATGAGAAAACCTGGTTAAAATTCACTCCTCTTCTGCCTGATGGCTGCTTTCTGTGTATTGGGGCAGTGTGTTTTGGTGGAGTGATGATTACAAAGCAGGGAAGGAGAGAGAGAGAGAGGATCATTCAATTACATAAGCTTTCTTTTCTAGAAATACTGGTGGAAGGCTGACATTGTGATTATTTTACCTACAGGATTATCTCTTTGATTGCCAGGATTCAGCTTTTAGCTAAGTAGTAGTAGCCCAAAATGAAGGATTAAAAACCGAAATCAAATAACGCATACATTTTTTTTAAAAAAACCTCAAATTCTTAATTTGTACATTACAGTACCTTATGAATATTGCCTGCAGTAAAAATGGTAAAAATAATAATAATAAAACCTTTTTTGAATGCATTTATAACTTGGTATCAATTTAGACAGCAACAGGCCCATAAGTACCACTCCCATAAGTTCTTTTCCAAAGGAGTACGCCAGATGTTTGTCAGACCCATTGCTCAGAGCTGCCTTCCTTGGCTTTTCTTCTGACTTGATTGCTGTTTGAAATGCCAGAACTTGATGGAGGCTGCAGGTGGGCTGACATCTCCTGCTAATCCTTATTTCCCTGCTCTGCAGCTGCTATTCCATTCTGCAGCTAAGGAAGATTTCAGAGCACTGGGGTGTCTCCCAGAAGTGCTTCCGCTTTTCAGCAGGCAGGCAGCAAAAAGGTATGAAGGAGGTTAAGTAAACATATATATTTACAAGAAAAAATCCAAATAATTGTGCTGTGTTAGGAGAGGAGGAAGAAGATGAAAAGTAGAACCTTGGAAGAAAATTGAGGATCCAGTGCTCAGAGTCTTTTTGATTGGGACAGTCTACAAATATTGTAAATAAATGAATAAGTGGAGCCTTCAAGGATCACTGGGAATGGAATGTAGAAAATGACAAATCAGTTGCCTACACTCACCCCAAAATAATGGATCCTTAACTTTTGGGGGTGCTTGCTGCAGCACTTTCCCTTTCATTTCACTACATTTCCCAACTATATATTAGAGATGGAACTTTCATTGGGTTCACAATTTCCTCCAAACTGGAAGCTAATAAGTGTTCTGCCAAAGCCACATAGAAATATATATCTTAGTTTACCCAGTTATTTCCAAGAGCTTTTAACTTGGGGGCCAAAGTGTCCTCATCCTTGCTCTACTGTAGTCCCAATTTAGTTTGGCCTTGCCCTACTGTGGTCCCAAGTTAATGCTATCTCTCACTCAGCTGTCCCACTTAGACCAGTTCCTTGCACCAGGAAAAAACACTTATATTGGTGCCAGCCCCGTGTCCTGGCAAATTAGGCTGATTTATTTAAATTATGCATAGACTCTGTCATCACATTTTTTAAAAGAACAAGAACAGCAAAAGCACTTGCTATTAAAGTGTGTATTTTATTTGATGATAAGCACAGCAGCCTAGTGCTTTTCAGAGAAGAAAAATATATCCCTTGAGCTCTTGACTGCAGTTTCTGTATAAGTACCCTTCAATCATGGAATACAAAGGTAGCTACAACAGAAACACCCATATTTCGTCCGGCTTGTTCTTTCTGAATCCCACTTATGACTCTGCTGTTCAAGGACAGTTCCAATTATTCTTGTATAGAGGCGGGCAGGAACTGTGTGCTTGATTCATGCTCCCTCCCACTTGCTGAAAGATATAAAAGCTCTGCTTCCAAGCTCCGGCACTGAAAGCTTAATAGAAGGCTGTGATTAGAGCCCTCCACTGCTCCCCAATCCAGTTGCTGCAGATCTAAGCAAGCCACCCAACTACTTTCTCAACATGTGCCGAGGTTTAGCTGCGCTGCCTGCTAGCTGCTTGGAAAGGTAAGAGGCTTGGAAAATTATTGAAGCTCTTATTATATTATTACTTTGCTGAACAATCAGGGCTGGACTTGACTTGACCACATGTAGTAACCAGGAATGACCTCAGTCTATATCCCAAACCCCGATTGTACCATTTCATGTAATGACTGGAATGACATTATTTAGTTCAACACTGAGGAAAGATAAAGGAGGTAATGATAATAAGAGATTAAAAGAAATAGGTTTTTCTTGCTTTTCTCGAGAACTGCAGCTGACTGTCTGCTTCATACATTTGGCTTGTTTGTGTGTTTTTAAATGTGATGGGAAAACGAGTACAAATTCTCCTGTGTCTTTGCAATGCAGTTCTCAAAGACACCTCTGCAAGTAGCACTGCACACCATTAGCATGCCTGCCACACACCAGCCAGAGGTTGGTGAGCTAAGAATAGAAAGCGATGCGCCAGGCGGCCATCTCCAAACTGTCGCAGTGATTGCACCAAGCAGGGAGAGACCTCTGAATGGCTGCAGCACCCACCCTGGTTAGGCAGGTGTGTGACACAACATTAAAAGTCTGAAAACTCTACCAGCTATGGGATGCTTTGAATAGTGGCAAAGGAAAGCATCCAGTTAATCACCGAAGAGGAATAGCAATTAGGGAGAGGTAGTGTAGAGGCATGGATGAGAAACAATTATAATAATTATGATATTGGCACTTTATTTGTGCCCTAGTAAAACAATATAGCCACAGCAAAAAAGCTGAGGGTCTGCTTTGAGGAGCATACAGTGTGGGGTGTTTTTTGGGGGGACAGGTGAAGAGGTATCAGAAAAGGACAGTGAAGAGAGCTTGATAGCCACATCTGAACATTTGCTTTGGTGTGCTGGCCATCTATTGTGTTTGAAAAAGGCAAGATAACATTCTAGCGATAGCCTTGAGGTTTTATATATATTCCTAGCATTTCTCCTCTCCTTTGCCCCTGGCCCACAGCCACATCACACCCTAATGACTTGATAAGGGCTCTAGTGACCCCTGGGAGGACATAGTGCATTTAACAGTAGATGCAGTCCGAGGCAAGTGCAGCGTCATCCCATCTTTTAAATCTCTGGAAAAATCCCATTGATTTTCCACATTCCTGATTGTCTCGGATTCAGCAGCTACAGAGACATGAAGGACGCCCAGGGCCTATTAGTGGGTTCACAGTCAAGTCCAAGCAAAGAGAAAGATCAAAAGGGGTACAGATGCTCCAAAGTGAGAAAGCAACCATCATCACCTTCTTTGATGACCTTCTGCACTTGAAGGCTACCTGGCACAGGTCTTGGACCCCAGCATGGTGCTCAGGAGTGGGCCCCCACTAAGCTACCTGCAACAAATTATTTTTAAATAAAAGGTTATATTAATTTTTTTTAAGTGTTAAACTACCAAAGCAAGTGCAATCTGTATTTCCGAGAACAATTCCATTCTTAGAAAATGCTAGGTGGTTGCAGTCCCGGCGCCTTATAGGGTTTAACTTCTTATATATGTGGATTAGCTGAACTATCATGACAATCTTTTGTAAAAATAAAAGCTACGTGACTTTAAAATTCCCAAATGAGCCCACTGGTCCAAATAGATTGAAAACTCCTATGGCTGTACCAGTTGACTAAAGAAGTCATACCCATCAAAAGCCGGAATTTCATAAAAAGTCATTAAAAATAAGTGACATTAGCTAGAGAGCAGTGAGCCTGCAATTGTAATATTTTGAAACCAGAAATTATTATTTTGGTCTGACTTACATTTGTTCTGTTCCTAGCAATATTTGTAATTTTTCTCAGTATTATGTGACAGTTTATTTTTTCAGGAGTTCAGCAAAAAAATATAATTACATGTTGGTAAACAGGGTGGTGCTGATAAATCCTAAGTGCTATCAAAGTTAACAATTCAGAAATACACATATCAGTTTGAATAGTAAGAATAAGCTAGATTCATTGTTGGCTAAAGAGCATCTTTTCTATGATCTCTGGAATTATGACAATGCATTTTTAAAACATGCTGGATAAATACTAGAAACAATAGCATTTAATTTGTTTAAATATTGCTTTAATAAACAGAAAAGAGCAAAAGTTGCAACAAAAATGTAAAAAGATTTAAAGAATAAGCAATAAAGGAAGATAAAAGGGCATCACAGAATTATGTCTGTATGTGTACAGAAACTATATGTTCAGCTGTTTTCTACAGCAGATGAAATTTTGACCTCATGTAATAATTGCTTGGTTTTTGGTACCTATTAATGATGATAATTAATAGCCTAAGAATTTTGCAGAACTGACATGCTTGTGTCATTTTACAAAGCAGAAAATATAATATATATTTATAATTTATATTATTATTGGAATAAACATGCCATACCATTGTAAGCAGCTTTTAAGAAGTTAGGTATTTAGAATACTGAATTCTTGTAAGGTAACTTAGACCATGACAGAATTAATGCCCTGGTAGGTTGGAGTCATGACATGTTATATCACTTCATTTCAGAGGTTGAGGCACTTACTAGCACTATTCGATCTGAGGGTACAAATCTCCAGATGACATTAAGAGCACAGAGTTGGTGTTCTTTGTATCTCTTTGCTGCCACCTAGTGGCAGCTTGTAGCCTAGAACTGGTGGCCTTCGATGAAAGGTTGAGGAAGATCCGGTCCACAGAATTAAGTAATGGGTATCTAGTGAAAGTGGGGAGAGGGGAATGAAAAGCTGATCCAACCCGGTGGAGATGTCTGATGAATTCAGTAATAAGGGGAAGAATTAAAGGAACATAATACAGAGTATTTAACTTTAAGGAATTAAATTACAAATTAACTTTACAATTGCAGAGTAGGCATATATACAAGAACTTCCGCTTGAAAAAAATTGTTTTCCTTTTCAGTTTTTAAGTCTGGCTGAGGCAGTAAATGCTGTGAGTTTAGGAAAACTAATTATGGCATTCTGTTGCTTAAAAACCATTTTTCAATTTATCCTTGTTGCCAGCAGGAATAGCCTGTTAATATATGAATAGCCAAGTTAAAGATTGGTTGATAAAGGATAAAAAAATGCATTTACTAATGGAGAAAAAGAAAGCTTAGCAGAAAAGCCAAGTATACTTTCTTTATACTAAAGAAATGCTTCAGCTCTCAAACTCACACTGCAAACTCTTATCTTAAATTGCCAGAACCAAGAAGCTTCTTCTAGACCTTAAGTTTGAAGGAACATCCTTATCTTGTCTTGATATCCTCTAATCTAGCAACTGCAGTACTTTGTTTTTTTAGTATCCTTTTTGAATTATGTTCTTTTCTCTTTTTCAGAGCCAAAGAGTTTAAAACACGTTTGAGAATTCTACTCCATAAACCAGAATTTGGACATAAAATTGGAAACCTCAGCTGGAGCACCAAACAAAAGTAAGTCTATAACTGGTTGACAAAAACACAAGGGTTTTTAATGACAATAAAATGTTAGGGTTATTTCATTCTAATTGACTCCAAAGAGAGGAAGGATCCTAGATAATGCTTTTTAGCTGTGTTAGTAAAAAATTTGTATGATACAGCGGTTTGTTATGCTGTATCGTCCTTTTTGAAAAGACAAAGAGCCGTTCTAAGTCAACCAAATGGCTGAGATGTTTTTGAAGAGAGGCTGCTTCTAGACAGAAGCACTTATATTAAAAAGCCTTGTGCAAGTCTTTTAACACTGTTCTTTTTCCTGAAAAGAAAATGATGGAAGAAATGGGTGAAAACGGGGACCTAAAAATGAAAGATCCTGTTATATAATAACATTATGTAAAAAAAACAGAGTGATTTTTCAATAAATCTTCATCCAGGATATCCCAAATACTCAATTTCCAGATAGTATTTCCTGCTTATTGCCTCCAGAATAATATCTCTACACCTTCATTGGCTAAGAAGGATAAGAAATTTTGAAGAACTTGCTGAAGTGGTTTAAATGGTGTTAATGACATAACATATGTGAGGTGATATGTGGTAGTGAGCAATTTTGAATGGGGATTATGAGAAATGAAGCCAGGATAAATAGGACACTTCCCAGAAGCTTTGCATCCTGAACTCTTTGCTCAAAACATTACTCTTTGAAATCTGTCGGACAAGCTCTAAAAAATATTATTTCTTCTCCAGATATACTTTGGAGGAAGCACTTGGATGGAAGGAGTCCTTTGATCAACTGCTGAGAAGCAGAAGTGAGTACACATCATGTGTGGTAAAAAAAATTGTAAAACACACAAAAAAAGTATAGTTGCAAGTAGCTGGCGATTGTGTGATTTCACATGATTCAGTAAGGTTGCCAACCAGTCATGTCTTCACAAAATGTTCCAGAGGATCTTCTTAGATAGCAAAAAAGCAGATACTTTATAAAATTACTGAATGAACAATCACCCCTAACCTAGTGTTGGGATAGCTCATAGACTTCTCAACCCAAATAATAAAAGTTTGAACTGGCTGAGAATACTAATATTTAATCTGTTTACGAATAACTGAAGAGGGTAAACATATCCCACACACCTTCCTCCTCCTATTTTCCCCACAACAACAAACCCTGTGAGATAAGTTGGGCTGAAAGAGAATAACTGGCCCATAGAGAGCCAGCTGGGTTTCATGCCAAAAATGGAGCTAGAACTCTGAATCTCCAACTTTCTAGCCTGGGGCCTTAACCACTAGACCAGGGATGTTAAGCTTGCGTTGTCATGGTGTTGTCATGTGACGTATCATGACTTTTCCCCCATCGCTAAACCGGGCGTGGGCGTGGCCAGCATGTGATGCATCCGACCCACGGGCCACAAGTTTGACACCCCTGCACTAGACCAAACAGGTTGTCATTTGAATCAAATTAGTTATTATGCTAAACGTGACCTTCTCTTTATTTTTTTTAAAAATTAGTAACAGTAAGACCGCTCCAGATTCTCAGGGAGAGGAATCTGATCCCGTTATTGTTGTATTTTTGCCACCCAGATTTTTTTTAAATTTTCTACAATAGAAGGCAAAACAAATAAGACTCCGATGGGGTTTAATAGATTATTCTTCATCCAGAAATCAACCATATATCTTTAAGATGGATCGTCCTTGACATTATAATTTGCAAAACATGCAGCATTTTAAAAATCTATTCGTGATAGTCTTTCTTTTCCTTCTCTCTCTATCACTTCTAAACTGGTTATTCTACCTCCTCCTTTACAGGTGGCATGGAAGCATTTCATGGGTTTCTTAAAACGGAATTTAGTGAAGAAAATCTGGAGTTCTGGCTAGCTTGTGAAGAATATAAGAAAATCCCCACCAAAGCAAAATTAGCAGCCAAAGCCAACAGGATCTTTGAAGACTTTGTTCAGAATGAGTCCCCCAGGGAGGTGAGTCAAATGACTTTATAAGTTCAAAGATAAATCAACCTCAAAGCAGAGTTTTTTTTTAAAAAAAATTTTTGCCTGACCCTAACTGAGGGTTCTTCAGAAAGGTACATAAAAGAAAGAGGAAGCTCAGTTATTGGGAGTAGGTATTAATTTTTCTGCTGAGTCATGCCGTTCTCTAAAGAGCCTGTGTTACAATAGGATTGCTTTAACTTTTGATCTGGCTTCAGGTCCATCTACTGCATGCAGATTCAGCTTCAAGATATATCTTTGCATTGGCAACAATGCCTTTACAATGGGAAGGGCATGAAATTTCAAGGTTATCTTAAGTTGGCTTTTCCAGTTTGGTGCTTACCACCTGATCTAGCTATAGCTCCCATACCCAGGAAGGGGAAGATGAATATAAGTACTTTTGCTGATAGTGCATAGCAAGAGAAAGGCTCGTAGGCCCAAAGGAGGACAGGTGAATGGAGCAGTTTAGATTCTTCCATATTTGTAGCTTAGGTTGTGGATTTTGGCAGTGGTTCATTCTCTGAGCTTGCTGTTTTGCTCCTGACATTTCATTACCAGACTAAGTAACATCTTCAGTGGACTTCAGGTGAAGTGTTTTGTTCAGTTTTTCTCCTGTTTATATAGATCCTATGTGGTGTTGTGATCAGTTGGTCACGTGACTGATTATTTGCATGGTGCAAAATTCAACTGGTGGTCGGTTTCATCGCTGATTGGTTGTTTGTTACAGGTTCTTACAGGTTCATATAAGTCAGTGTGGTTCTAAGTCAACGTGGATGGATCCATCAACAAACACATTGATTTAGAACCAGCATATGAACCTATAAGAAACCGGACCACCCAAGCCGCCAATCATTGACAGAACTGATTACCTTCTCACCAACTGAATTTCGTATCATGCAAACCAGTCATGTGACCAACTGACCACAACACCACATAGGACCTATATAAATAGAACAAAAACTGACCAAAACACTTCACCCAAAGTCCCATGGAAAATGTTACCTAGTTTGGTAATGAAACATCCAGGAGCTAAACAGCAAGCTCAGAGAATGAACTGCTGCCAAAATTCTCCCATGTATTTGAGAATATCCCACCTTTTTATTTATTGCAAAATGATTTTCAGTGTTCATTCATATTTGCTTATTCAGAGTTGATTTCCAGAAGTTTTTGATATCTACTCTGCAGGTCTTTCACTGTTGATGAGAGATTTCCTACCTTGGTTATGGTGTTACAATGTATGTGTTGTTTCTCATCCATCAAGTTACAACCAAGGATGCATATTCACCATATTTTTTTCTCCGTTAGGTAAATCTTGACCATGAAACTCGAGAGGCAACCAGAAGGAACATTGCTGGGGCCACTTCTATGTGCTTTGAAGAAGCGCAAGCAAAAACATACACCTTGATGGAAAAGGACTCCTATCCCAGATTTCTGAAATCTGCTTATTATAGAGACCTGATTGAACAAGCAAATAGCCACAGAACAGGCAAACCTGCACACACCTGAGCCAATCCCTTGTTATCATCTGGAACTGTGTTGGGGAACAGAGACACAGAGTGAAACTGGAGATGCTGAAATCCAAGTGAAGGGTGCTAAGAACATTTCCATCGCAGAGCTTTGGTTTTTCCTGGCCTGGGACCGCCAATACTTCCATGTACCCAGAAGCTCTATTAAATGCAGACCTTCTCTAGAAAAAAGGCTGTGAGTTGAAAAAAACCAGGAGAGCCTATGAAAAAGGCTGAAGAAATTGATGCAAGGAAGACTTGGTCTCCAGATAGGAAGAGAAATGCAACAGGAAAGGGAATGAGAATTATGAAGAAAAGGTGGATTTTGATTGTCTCCTAAAATGTTTACCATTTTTGGAGATACCTCTGTGCATTCATCTGTTTGAACCAGTGACAGCCTCCATCTACTCTTAAAAGCTAGTCTCTGCACCTATAAACACAGACCAAAAACTGTACATAGCACAATTCTCATATCTTGTATACACAACACACACCAGTTTGAAATTTCTACCCATTGCATGTCAGCCTCAGAGGCCTTCTGTTCTCTGCATGTTTGTACAGTGATCAGCTTGGTGTTCCAGAGCTTTGCATCCAAACGGTTTTGCATTTATACTCAAGAGAAAGGCTGCATCTGCTTTGCTACCCTGTTTCTCCAACAATACGGCCTCTCCCAATAGGAAGTCCCAGCATGTTTTATAGGCATGAAATGAAATTAAGCCCCTCCCCCCAAATTAAGGCCTATATTAAAACATGCAAAACGGGGGGGAATGGTGGGGGGGCTTGCCGTTAGGAAGTACTTTTGTTGCACACCGGATATGGTGCTGCCTGCGTTGACCCCGATACGAACTGCCCCACCAACGCTGAGGTCAACATCCAAGCCATCGCTGCCCGCCCACCCGAAGATGCAAGGGGGGGGGGAATTAAGTCACCCCAAAAAAGACAGCCTAGCCATTTTTTCGGGGCTCAAAAAAAAATAAGACCCGGCCTTATTATATGAGAAACACGGTACTGCATACATCTCAATCTTCCACCATCTTGGACAGATTTCCTTTTAAAGACATTTGAAAGAAGACATTGTTTTATTTATCTCTGAACGTTATATGCAATCTTGGGAGACATGCCCTATTTTTAAATTATTTATATTTATTATTGTCATTTTATTGTTATTTATTATGATGGGCATTAGATAAGCACAGCACTTTAGAAGTAGGTGCTATGGATAAACCGTTGCTACAAGGGGCCTACAATTTAATGTTGGCCTTTTAGCCACATTCATAGCATTTACAGAGTATATTTATAGGGGACATTTACATATTTTTTTAAAAAAAGAGGGAGACAGGCAAGACCACCTTTGCAAATATAAGTCCCTCAGAATTGTTAGTTCACCTCAGGAGTCCCCAAACTTGGCAACTTTAAGACTTGTGGACTTCAACTCCCAAAATTCTCCAGCCAGCTGGCTGGAGAATTCTGGGAGTTGAAGTCCACAAGTCTTAAAGTTGCCAAGTGTGGAGATCTCTGGTTTACCTCATAATGTTTTATGAACATACTGATACATACATTTAGCCATTTAAAGCTCATACGATAGTCTGAATGTGGAAAAAGAAGGGATAAATTTTCCAACGAGCAATTTCCTGCTTGCTTTGTGGAGATAATTTGTATCATCACTGTTGAATGGAGAGTGTAAAACTTAAATTCCAGGGCTTAATTTCACAAATCAGTAAAAATTGAAAATAAAACATAGCCAGTAGGATAGTTCATTTGTTATTTTCCTTTTGTAGGGTGTGCTTTTTTAGAGCACCATATTGAAATTAATGACAATTGTTCATATCCTTGTGAAATTATCAGTAGCTCAGTTGAGACATATATAGATCAGAGAGTTCTGAGTGACTGAACGCCAAGTAACTTATTTAAAATGTATCCTGTCCCTCTTGTTTAACCAGCTGTAAAATAAATAATTTTAAGCCTGTTTAGAATTGTTTATATAATTGAAATACTGAAAACAGCTGGAAGGAAACCAAAGTTTCACACAATGACTTAGCAATTTCTACTGCTTTTGACCACTAGTTCATGAGTGCATGTTCAGAACTGATTGTAGCATCATGTGACATAGGAGTGAGCTATTATAAATACATATGGTATTACTCATCCTCATTGCCTGATTTTAATACCAACACAATACTATCAGTGGACAGTTTTTATGTTTGGCTGAGCGTCTTGAGTGTTCAAGCAAAATATGATCATGTGGTAGAAATGAATGTATAAACTAGTTTTCCATTTCATTTCTGGAGTCTTTAGCACAGATATAGAGAGGGAAAGGACAGAAGAGATACATTTAAATTGAGCAACACTATATACCAGCTGTCTCCAACTTCATGGCCTCATGATGAGTTGGACATTTTCAGAATTACCAGCCAGATGGCTTGGTTGAATGGAATTTGTGATCTAACCATTCTGGAATGGAACCGCAACTATATTTTTGTACTTCTTAGCAGTGGTTAAACGGCTATCATCGATGCTGATAAATGGACAATAGCTGTAAAGATGAATGCATCTGTTTTTTCTGCACTAGAAGTCTTGAAAATAAGTTCTTTATCCATTGTCAGCATTTCTAGATGAGATACACCCCAAGGCAACTGCAGATTCCCTTTTGCATTCTCTGGTATATTAAAAGGGCCTGCATCCTGAAATGTTTCTTCTGATTGTTTGACCTTTACTTAGATCAACTGTAATAAAGAGGTACCTTAAAGAGGTTTCCATTCCAATAGCATTCAATCGTCTATGGTGAAAATCTCCTTCTATTGACTGTATTGGTAAAAGATCATTACCCTTGTTATGTATAACAATTTTTTTTTAAAAAAAAAGACAACATCTAAAATGGGCAGGGGAAGGGATTCTTAGAGCATCTGAATATACAGATCCATTGAAAGAGTTCCCTACAATTGACTTGGTTCCTTTTAATACTGATTTTATTGTGATGTTCTTCAGAATAGGCATTTTTACAGGCATAAATGGGACCTAAAGCTAAAATTTAGCTAAGAAATATTAGAGATCCTTCCAGTGGTCAACAATAAAGTGCTAGAGCAGCCCTGTAGTTCCTCTTGTCAAAACAATAGGAGTCCCTTCTCTAATCCAAACTGATTAGACATCATTCTCATCTAAAAATCCAGACTGGGATTCGAATTTTGCTAAGGCCAGAATGGCTTGGATATGTATTATTTACTCACCAGTGGAGGTGGTTCTATATCCCTGTTCTTTCAGTGAATGATTGAGATACTGCATTGTGGTTTCATGAATGTTGTATTGTCTTTATTTGAAAAAATAAAAATAAAACAATTGCAGATACCACAGAAATCTCATTTATTCTGAAAAGTGAGGGGAAGACTGGGGGGAAAGGACTTGCTACACAAAGCATCAGCCTCTCATACACCCTCCTGGATGAAATCAGGGCCTTTGTCAAGGAGGCAAGAAGTGTCACCTCCTAGGATATCCCAAAGAACTGAAGAAGCTTCTTGAATGAGAAGCATCTTTGGGACAACCATGGCCTGGATGATTGGCATCTCCATAGACATGTTACCCAGGATGAAAATTAGAATAAGCATTCAGCATAGTAGTTATTCTATGTTGGCAAATTCCCCTTTCTGCGAAGGAATATACTTGACATATATGCACACTTTATGCACAACTTGGAGTCAGAATTTAATGCTAAAAAGCACAAATTCAACTTCAAGATCCTACCAAGTATAAAAAGTTAAAGATTCACAAAGCTGCCTTACAACCTGCTTCAGTAGTTTCTCAGAGGAATCTTGGCTTTAGGGAAGGGGGGATAATGCAATTTATCCATAAAATTTGGCTCACAGTATTGATAATTCCTGGATATTAAACTATTTTTGACTTCAGGAACAAACAATAATAACATCAACTCTAATTGTCCAATGCCCATAGAGCCAGAATTATGACCACATTGTTCCAAAAAATTTCTGACCACATTGTTCCACAGCACTTAACCACATTGTTCCACATTGACTTAACCAGATGCATGAAGATTGAAGCAGCCCAGATTATGGATCTGGATATAACCTCTGCCTAACCCAGGGGTGGGCAACTATGGCCCTTTTATGAATTATGGACTTCAACTCCCAGAATTACTGAGCAAGCCATGCTAGCTCAGGAATTTTGGGAGTTGAAGTCCACAAGTCATAAAAGGGCCATAGTTGCCCACCTCTGGCCTAACCACATGCTTCCAATTTGATGGATAAACTTACCAGCAAATTAAAGGCACATCTACGGGATCACCGCTTTCAGGACTTATAGTGGAGGTCATTATGCAATGTTTAAAAATTCATAGCACTTCCATAAATATAATCCAAAATATAGATCAGATCTGTAGATGACACCTTCACCATAATAAAAAGGGTCATTTAGCAAATTACTCACAGAATCATCAATATGTTCAAAGGAATGAAGTTTACTAGAGAAGAAGAAAGCAATAACTCACTACCTTTCCTGGACATCCTGATTAAGTGAAGTATTAATGTTGTAATGTCATTTTGATTCTCTAGAAAAACAATGGGAAAAGTGGATGTTTCAAGGAAAGTTTGTTGATTTTGTCAACCCTAGGAAATTCCTGCCTTCTCTTCCCCCACTCTCCACTTCCCCATTCCCTCACTCTCACACATACATAAACATGTTAAATTTTGAATTCCAATTCAGCAATTGAATCTGTAGGTGTCTCAGGAATCTTGAAAGTGGGTGAGATGATGGAGACACAAGGGAAGATTGCCTGGGGTATTCCTAAGGTTGGTTCTTAAATCAACTCAACTAAAACAGACTTCCAGAGATTACATCATATGCTTTTTATTGGAAAGCTTTGTAGAGTGGGAAATGTGGATAACATGAAGTAACATGTTTGGTGAACATGTAAAAAGGATTTTAAAAATCTTGGATTCAAATAGATACATTGATACAGTGGGTTTTAAAGATAACTATTCAATTGAAGCCAAAACGTTCCTTCTAGAATTGATGGGTAAACAGTTAAAACCTGCCATGGAATATTATTTTAATATATGATTATTATGGCGAGGTTACCATAGGCACAAAGATGGAAAAATTCAGCACTACCCACCACAGTGGAATGGTTGGTGAAATGACAGAACTTGCTCAGAGGGACATATGGACTTCTTTCATTAAAACAAAGGACAATGTGTTCTTTCATTGGTAATTGGAACACCCAATGGAATTTTTGCATAAAAATGAAAAATGTTAACTTGTAATTTTTTTTTATGATTAGACAGATATAAAGAGGGGGCTATGGTGTGATTGACTGCGAGTCAAGCCTCCCAATCTAGGAATGGTGCCACTGGGACACAACATTAAAGCTCTTCAAAGGGCCTCTTAGCAATGACTGCCACCTGCTCTTTAAGGAAGAGCTGTGAAACTAGAAGGACTCTTGTTATTTTGGACTTTTTGGCTTTTTGGAAAACTTGTACCTCGATTTTGGCTTGATGATTTGGGTTTGGACTGTGGACTTACTGGTGGACCTGGAATGTGCTGTGCTCCATGAAGAAGCGCTGGACTCATTTGGAGGAATTTCATTGGTTCCTGTGGAGGGGGTTGATCCTGGGGAACACTATT